CTCATTTATATTTAAAGAGACCGCACCCAAACAGCTTGCTCTGAGGCGCAACTCAGAACAGGGGTAAAGCATGGAGTATGTGGAGCAACAAAAACGAGGAATTAAGACCAAAGCGTTGCAGTTTTATTTTAAATAAACCATAAGTGAATGATTTAGACGTGAAAAAGAAAGATTTAAAAGCATGCTATGATATCTTTAAAAGTTATGTAGCTAAAAGTTGTGTCATATTTAAATGAAGATCCCTTTAAGAACTCTGTATGTAGGAGATGCTTGAGCGCCGTTAACCCACAAAGTGTTGGTGCATTTTTCACCGAGCAGAGATAAGCGTAGCCAGGGGTGTCAAACTCCAGTCCTCGAGGGCCGCTATCCTGCATGTTTTAGAGGTTTTCCAGCTCCAACACACCTGATTCAGTGATTGAATTAACTCTTCAAATTGGGCAGAAGCCTGTTAATTACCCAGCGATCAAAATCAGGTGTGTTGGAGCAAGAAAACCTCTAAAACATTCAGGATAGCGGCCCTCGAGGACTGGAGTTTGACACCCCTGGCGTAGACTCTCCACTTCCATCAGAGATGCTCATGTTTTACGTGTTGTTGGCTGGTATTGGTTACTGTCCAATTGGTTTGTTCTCATTAATAAATTAAACCTACCAAGTCAAAAAAGTATGGAGAACTTGCTTCCAACTTAGGATGTTTTGTAGAAGTGTAAATCAACAGCTTTATGACAATAAGATAAATTGATTTGTTTGGATGAAAGTACAATGTTTCTTAAAAACCACACAATAAATACTGTCGTGATACAATTTCAATTCAATGCAATCGATATGATGCAATATCATATGCCCATCTAACAATCATTTAGTTAATGATTGTGTTAGATGGACATATGAAATTGATGCACATTGGCCATTGAATGATGACAGGATTGATATTTTTATTTTGCCTTGATGTAATTGAATCAATCATTTAATCAGTATATTGATATGGATCAATATCTCGTTACACCCCCAATCCTTTGTTGCATTTTTTTTTTACCTGAATTAAAAAAAAATAAACTATGAAGTCAGGGATCTAATTAAACATTCACTAGCGTAAATTACATTTTTAATTTGGTGTTCCAATGAAACTGCATTTACACTTCATCAAATTTGTTCATAGGGCTTAGATATTTAAAATATATTAACTTAAACATATATTTGTTCTATATGCAGAAAAAAGTGTCTCTTTTGAATTTAACACAAAATTTTGTTGCTACATGGAGAATTTTATCAATACAGACCATCTTAAACTAACTCCTCTGGTTGCAAACACTTCAAAGATTTTAAGTGACACACACACACACACACACACACACACACACACACACACACAC